CAAAGGCAGCCAGGGTTAGAGAGGAGACAAAACCGGCCTGAGCCAGTAGTGGAGGGAGATGCTCAGTGGAGCTGTGGGGATTTGCTGTGCCCTCTGCTTATAATTTTAAAATTTGCCTTTGTATTTCATCCTTTCATTGCTGTTACCATTTCCTCCTCGACCCTTAATGGCGCTGTGTCCACCATTCTGTTTGTTTCTTTGTGTGTTTTACTTCTTCACGTCCTCGTGGGGGGAGGGTGCTGACCCGCACACTGCTGCCTGGAGGGCTCGCGTACCCTACCTGCTGTCTTCCCACTATGCAGGGAGGGGCAGTCCTCGTCCTCACCGGGTCAGGGGACCTGGACGGGACCCAGACGCCTGCTTTGGAGGCCCGACAGACTGGGATTCCTGCAAACCCCTTGGTGCAGGCCCTGCTGGAACACGGAGAGCCTCACACCTCGGTGACAGGGAGGCGGGCGGGGAAGGTCCCGCCTGCTCTGGCTGGGGCTTGACCTCCCCTGACCGGGGGACACGCACCCTCACCAGCCCTTGTGGGTGTAAGTGGGACGTCTGCGCCTCTCTGAGCCCTCACTGTCCCTGTTTCCACTGATCTCCTCGGCACTTGGTGGTGAAGGCCTTAGAAAAGAACCAAAGGAACACGGAGAAAAGCGTTCCAGGTCGGCGCCCTGCTTTCCCAGCTCAGCCAGAACTGTGCCCTTGGCCCCCGGCTGCCCTGACACCCACCCTGCCTGGTCCCCGCCAGCCCTGACCTGTCCTATCACCTCCAGGGCGGGCCTCAGGGAGTGCTGCTCCCTGCTGGCTGAGTAGCCTTTATGACATGCTGGGCCTCAGCAGCTCTGTGCAGGGAACACAGCACGGTGACTGAGCAGCTTCCCCTCTACCCCCACCTCCTGACCATACATAGCCTAGGAAGTGGGGCTCCCTCCCCTGTCCTGGCTTCCAGGGAAAAGAACAGAGGACAGCAGGCACACACGCGGGAGCCGCTGGGAAGGGGGCATCCTTGGTGAGTACAAATGTCCCTGGCCACCAGGACAAGCGCTGGGCAAGCACAGAGCTGCTTCCAGGGCCCAGGGTCCGACTCCGGGTCAGACTTGGCCACCGCCTCCCCCCTCCCTCCCCCTGCAGCCATGCACACCGCACACCAGCGTCAACTCCCTGTCTGCTGTCAAAATGCAAAGAGCACCAGACCAGGAAAGTGGCAGGGACCGAGCCCTAGAAAGCTGGCCTAGGTGTGCACACATGCTCATCGTCTTGTTCACGCTCACACCCATGTTCACACATGCACTCATGCTCGTGCTCACACCCATACTCACACTCATGTTCACACCAACACTCGTGCACTCATGTTCATACTGTGTCACACTCATGCTCACATGCACTCACACTTGTGCTCATGCCCACACACTCATGCTTGTACCCAGATCCGTGCTCACAGTTGGGCTCACACTCATGCCCATATCCATGCTCACACTCATGTTCACACTCATGCTCATGCTCACAATTGTGCTTGCACTCACATGTGCTCATGTTTATGTTCATACTCATGCTCACACTCATGCTCATACTTGTGCTCGTGTTCACTCATGCTCAGGTTTACACTCATCTCATACTGACACTCATATACTTGTGCTCATACTCCCAGTTCTCATGCTCGTTCATGCTCACATTCATGCTCACACTCAGACTCAGGCTTACAGTTGGGCAGCAGGGCCCAGACACCCCACTGGCTGATAGTTCAGCCCTGCAGCAGGCCAAGGATTGTTCAAGGGCTGGCCTCTCCCAGCCCAGGGCCACTGTGGACCTCAGCACCCCCAAGTCCTCAGTGCAGGAGAAGAAGTGACCAAGGGACCCGCAGGGAGCCATCGCCAAGGTCAGGGGGGCTGCCCGCTGGTGTGTGGCCTCCTCCTGAGCCAGGGCTTGTGTAGTGGGGACACCTTGTAAGAATGCCAATCTGCCCCATGTCTGTCACCACCTGTTTCTTGGTCTCCCTGGGGGCGGGCAGGGACTGGACGCAGAGTCCACGGCACTGCCAGAGTGGCCGGACAGAGGCAGCAGGCCATGTCCTGCCCTGCCCTGCCGGCCGCCACCTCTGCCACCCGCCTAGGCCCCAGCAGCATTTTCCCTCAGGCTCTCGGCCTCCTGGCAGCAGGAGCAGCTGTCTGAGCCCCTCACCACCTGGGAAACCCAGCCAGGCTGGATTTCACTTTCTTAGCTCTGCTGCCAGTTTCAGCAGCGATTAATCCCAGGAGCCTCAGGAAGCCCTGGCGGGAGAGCACAGCACAGCTCCCTAGGGGCCCAATTCAAAACACACAAATGAATTACCAACCGGCACACTCCTGGGAATTGCCCTCACATCTGCTCCCGGGCTTGGGGCACGCTCGTCCCCACCTCCTCGTCACTTTCTGCAGCAGCTCTATAGTCCCCTTGCCCAAGGCTCTAGCTGTGCTGTCCTGGTTGCCTCGAGGTCCTGAATCCATGCATGGTCATTTTGAGTCTGAGGAAGCGCTGTAAGTCGTGTGGTGCCAGACCTGGTGACTCAGATGGACACAGCGTGGTGTTTTCACAAGCTGACTTTCTGCTGGAGGGTGATCTATAGGAGCGTTCACTATTATTTTTTATCATAGCTGGGAAAGACACAAAAGAGGACTTCCAGAGCTGCTGGAGAAAGGCTCCTCAGTTTCCCAGCCCTGGGCTGGGGCACAATGATGGGGACTTGCTGCCTGAACTGTTTGCTTAATACTTCTTGCTGCAGCATCTTCATTAAAGAGTGGGAGACCCAACTGCCCAGCCCAAGGCTTGGGGAGTGTGAGAGAGTCCCACTGCAGCTCAATAGCTCACCAGCCTGAAGGAAAGCCTGGCTATGCCGCCTGTCTCAGGCTCCGTTTTCCCACCAGGAACCTGGGTGTCCCTCACATCTATCTTGCAAGGTTTGGAAATGCAGTGTGTAAAGGCTTCTTGCAGTATCTGTTAAGCCAGAATTAACACAGTGGCCGCTGGTAGTAGAATAAAACAAGAGCCTTGTTAGCAGAATTTCCTAATCTAGCCTGGCAGACAAGGAGAGATCGGCCCTGGTGAACTCTCACTATGGTGCCCATTAGTAGTGCGCCAGGCCAGGGGCTGGCACTGGAAAACCTGGGAGAGGCCAAGCCAATCAATGCACTAACATTTGCTTTGTCCTCAAGCCTCACACCCATGTTGACACAAGCGGCCATCAAGGGATGGTGGGCAATGGGCTGGAAGGAAGTGGCAGCACATGGGGCCTGGCACTTGGGGAGAGAATGATTCAATCAATTGCAGGTTATTTCCGGGGTCTGGGTTGGGGTTGGGTGGAGGTCGGATGCATTATCTGGGTCCATTCTTGGAAACTGCAGGGATCCAAGAACAATCAAAAAGCTGCTTTCTGCCAAGTGAGCAGGGCACTCCTGTGATCTCAGCACTCTAGGAGGCCGAGGCAGGAGGATTGCAAGCTTGAGCTCAACCTGGGAAACTTAGGGACTTAGCAAAACCCTGTCCCAAAATAAATATTTTTTAAAAAAAAAAACTGGGGATGTAGCTCAGTGCCAACCGAACACTCAGTTCCCTATACAGCCAAAAATAAAAATAAAAATAACTCTAACCATTTGAAAAGCTTCTCATTGACCCCACCAGCAAGCACCACTATCTGCAGGACTTCACTGTGTAGCTCAGGCTGTGTGATTGGAAAGCGCCAAACACTTTTTCCTCTGGAAAAGCGGGGAAGCCACACAAAATCCGGGCATCAATGATGATAGAGATTTGAGATTTGAGTAAAAGCTCCACCCCCTGAGGTTCTCATTCTTTTCTTTTCTTTTTTGGTGCAAGAGATTGAACTCATAATGTCGTATTTGCCAAGCAGGCACTTAAGCCACTGAGCTAAGTCCCCAGCCCCTGTCCCTGAGGTTCTGACTGCAGTCGCCTCTTGTCATTTCTGAAAGGGACAAGACGCCAACGAGAGGAGGCAGGTTTGTGTAGGTCCTGCCTCGCCTCACGGCAGCCGCTGCTCACCGCACTGGCTCACCGCCAGGCCGAAGCGAGTGACACGAGGTGCGGACCTGGAAGTTTGCCTGTGTAGTACTCTACAGTCATTAAGATGGTGCTGGGGAACCATTAGACCACAGAGTACCAAGTGAAAAGGAAAGACAGAGAACTGTGTTTAGCAGTCATCCAGGCTTTAAGGGGAGTAAGTATGCAGGAGCAAAGCGCACAGACACACACACACACACACACACACACACACACACACACACACATCCCAAAGTAGAGGAGACACGTGAAAAGTTGAACTCAAACCTAAGCCAGGGTCTCTCCACTTGGGCTGAAGAACAATGAAGAAAACTTCTGCTTCCATGGGGACGGTGGCCTGTTTGAATTCCCTTTTTTACACCACTGTCTGATTCTCCACTAGCACTAGATGTGTTTGTGTAGATGGCCTGGCTCTGAGCAGCGGCCCTCCGCCAGCAGGCCCAGGGCACCCAGCCTGCCGCTTCCTACCCTGCTTGGCCCCTGGGAGCCACTAAGCTCCCAGAACCAACCCGACTCTGCCTGAATGGAAAGGCGCATGGGGGACAGGTTTGTGAGTGCGACTGTGTCCTTTCTAAAAAGCCAGGCAAACAAACTCTCAGATAAAAAAGGCAGGGAGCCGACTGTCCTCAGGCCCTGAAATGGGGAAGAACTGTCCTCGTTTGTAACATTCCTGCATTTTTCTAACTCTCCCTGAGTATGTGTTATTTATAATTTTTAGAAGCTGAACCTTTCCTAAGAGGAGAGCAACTGTCCCTTGATTCTCTCCACAGAAGTGCAAGGAGGACTTTGTGTCCATGTTCCCTGCACTGTGGGCCCCACAGGGCCACCCGGGCACAGGACCCTCGCCCCAGCCTCCCTTCTGGGACCCCCTGCCTCCTCTGGGCTTTTCCTTCCTGTCCGAGTTTGACGCTGCACTGTGCACACATCTTTCCCAGACACGCTGTGTGAGGGCTGTGGTTTATTCTGCACCCCGCACCTCTGGAGAAGCCGCATCTGTGGGTCCCCTCCGGGAGCCATCGGGTGGCGGCTGGCAGCAGGCCTGAGTGCAGCGGTGAGCACAGCCCACCCGAGTCCTGGACATGTCGGACAAAGCGCGAGGTGTCAGCAGCTACAGCTTGCAGCCGTCCAGCCACCGTGGCAGGGTGTCGGCGTAATGGCAGTGCAGGGACCAGCTGAGCCTGCGGAGGAGGCCGGAGAGGGTGGTTAGGAGTGGGCACTGAGCACCTGAGCCCAGGGCCACCGTGTACACGGCCCCCAGCCCCCCAGCACCGAGCATGGATCCCTGCCATGGGCACACTCCTGAAGGCCTCCGTGCACTGGAGCCTCTGTCCCCCACCTGGGTACAGTACACCCCGGCTTACACGGGATGCCACACGAGCACGACGTCCCCTAGCCCTCACCCTGGACATCATCAGCTTTCCTGATGACAGCTTCGGACAGAGTACCACAAGGCATGTCCCAGGTGCTGCCCTGGGCCCCAGGCCCCATTGCCACTGCGGGGACCTGCTCTGCTCGTTTTCCAGAATTTCTTTTGGCACCTCACCCCTACCTAGGTCAGGCTGAGGTCCTCTGAACTTTCTGCCTGGTGCTCCAGAAGTGACTGCTCTTATTTGTACCCAGCCCCGGGCCCCTGTCCCCATTAAGCAGCAGGCCGCCTGGGAACCATCAAGAATCCTTCCATCCCTCACAGGGCAGGCTCTAGTGGGTCCTCCGGGCAGGGGTCCTCATAGCTACAGATAGCAAAAACACATACATACACATGCATACATGCACTTACACACACATGCTCTTTGCAGCCCAGGGCACACCGTTCAGAAGGGACCCCGGGGCTGTGAGGCTTTGGTCTTCTCCCTTCCTGCCATGCTGTCCTGCCAGACCTTGGGGAAAGATGCAGCGGCTGAACGCTGACTGAGCGCTCACTCCACTGAGCCTGAGAGGCAGGAAAGCCGCCCTGACTGGGCCAACACCCCATCCTCAAGGTCATGCAACGGCTCATGGCTGCCCGCTCAGAGGGTGACCGTACCCTCAGGAACGCAGGAAAGGGGCTCCAGGTACAGCCAGCGTGAGTGCAGGGAGTTCCTCTTCTGTAACTGTCCCACTGGTAATGAAACCAATCAATGGCCCAGGGATACTGAGACTAACAGCTCATTATTCAAAAAATAAAAAGCCAGATCCAAACCTCAATTTTTATGTCAGAATAAATTCCAAGAGGTCCCAAGTTTTAAGGACAAAACATAAAACCATAAAAAATTCTGTATGACAAGTATGTGCTAGTAAAAAGTATAAAATTTAAAAAGGAAATCATAAAAATTCTATTTTTCAATTTATTTCAGAAAAAAAAATTTAAATATAGGGCTTACTTTGTGCCAGAGTGTTCTAAAGTAAAGAGAAACGCAGCTCGATTTTTTTTTACAGCCTTAGGCTCTGAAAGATCTTCCCAAGGGACAGATTTCACAGAAACCACAAGATAGAAGATGAAAGATTTGAGCTTGCGATGGTATAAATACATGTAGGTGAAAATCTCATAAAGCCAAAATGCAAAAAAGAAACCTGAAAACAAAGTTCACCCAGGGTAGATGGACAAAACTGAAAGTCCTCCAGAATGAAGCACACATCAAAGAATAAGGAGAGAACACGGTCAGAATATGAATGAGCCATTCACAGAGCAGGGCCAGGACGCAGGAAAAGATGCCCTGCTTCACCTGCAGTTTAAAATGCAAAGCAACACAGAATGGCATCATCTTCTACATCTTCATTTGCCAAATAGTGCAGATCTTTACAGCTTTCCAGGGTGCTGGGCAGGGAGACACGGGCACCTCTCCAGAGTGACCATTTAGTAAGGACTCCGGCTTTTAAATGCACCAAAGGGTCCCGACAAATCCCTTGCCTGAGATTACCCTAGGGACAGAGTCCTTGCCAGAGCCCAGGGCCCCAGGGCCGGCAGCAAGCTCCTCTGTCTCCCCACTCGCAGTGATACATGAGCAAGCACCCTCTGTGCTCCTCAGGAGGGACCTCTCGTCCATGCAGTGGGTACCAGTGGCTGTGATGGGGCAGAGATGAGCTGGAGAGCCGAGACCAGCTCTGCTGATAGGAGAAGCAGCCTGAAGTTCCATGCACAGGATTCTCCGGGTGCTTTAAGATATCTGTGTGTACATTTCTTTCCTCTGATTAAGGAGATATATTAACCATGCGGACCTAAGGTTGCTGCTCGTAAGTGAGAAAAGTTTGGTCTTTTACTTGTTCTGTAAAGTGTAATTAATCAAAAAGTACAAGTATTATGACTATCTCTTGGTGGTGGCTCTAGTCACAGCCTCAGTTTTATGGGAGACGTTAAATAGGCGCCCACCATGTGCCTGACAGAGAACCTCATGCTAGGGGTTCACAGGGGAGGAAAACAAACGCAGTCTTGGAATTTAGCTCCACAATACCTTGAAGACAGAAATCCACAGTACAAGGCTGGTCTGTGACTCGGACAGCAGTTTCCCCTGCCCCCAGATCCTGGGGGGTCAGAGCAGGAACACCCACCATGTTTTGGGCAAGGAAATAAGCCTGGCTGCAGATCTGCACCCCCCTCCCTGACCCTGCTCAGAAACCATGGGCCAGGACCCACAGGAGGACGGCACTGCTGTCCCTGGTTACCTTCAGCACAGAAAGGTCAAAGGTGTCCTGTGACAACCATGCCCACCTCTTTTGTAGCCTGGGAAACCCAGGCTTGGAACTGTGCCAATCCAGGACCTACCTCTGCAGCCCCTAGAAAGATACTCTCCACTCTGTGTCTGCCTTTCCTCATTTTTACAGTGGGATAAGAACATCCTTGTCATGAGGATTACAAGATGATGTGTGTAAACACACAAAGCCTATATACTCAGGCAGTCAAGAAATTGTAAGCAGTTCCTATTAAAGAATTTCCTCTGTGATGTGATAGCTTCTACTGGAAGATTATCAGTAGTTTAGAAACAATTTTAGGGGGAGGACTCATTGACTGTGACATAAACCCCACTCTTAGAACAATTAAGATGGGAAATGTTGTTCCATCTGGAAGTGAGGAAATACAACATTGTTTCTAGATCTAACTGGAGACTGCAGTACTCAGAATCAACCAGGTGGGCAACTTTGAGTTATAGGATGGGGAAAAAAAAAAAAAAACAGGAAATGTAGACTTGGCCGGGGCACAGCGTGCACTGCACAGTGCAGGACTCCAAGACAAACGCCCCTGGGGGGATGCAGCAGTGCGGGGGGGGGGGGATGCAGGATTTTTATGTACTGCGTTAGTTCAACACAGTAGAAAGAACCAAACGCTCATGCCAGCAAAACCTCCAAACTGGAAACTGGGACAAAATATGTGTGCACCAGTGACATCACCCAATCACAGGAGTCCAAGACAAGAAAAAGCAACACAATCTCTCTACTTGGCAAATGTCGAACCTGGTTTGTAAATCTGTCCTATTTGAGAAGGCTGAAGGGGAAAAACTAGCAGGGCACCCGTGGGCAAAGTTGGGAGAAGAAAACTGGGGCATCGCCGTGAAATTCAAAGGAATGTTCTTCTGAAAATGGCACTGCTGGATCCAGGAGTAAGTTTCATAGCACTAACATCCCCATAAGGACGCGTCCAGACATGGCTTCTGGGAAAAGCCACAGGAGAGAAGAGAGATTTTCTTTAAAAGACAATAATTTGAATCTTAAAAGTAGGATGGACACGGTAACACAGGTCATAAAAAAACCAAAAAGGTAGTAACTCAAAGTCAACATGCATTTGTGATTTTTAAAAATCTTCAGCAACCTAGAAATGGGAAGCAGCACTGTCAATCTGATTAGGGGGCTGGGGATTTAGCTCAGCGGCATAAGCACCTGCCTTGCAAGCAGGCGGTCGTGGGTTCGATCCCTGTACCGATAAAAATGAAAAAGACAAAAAAAAAAAATCTGATTAGGGGCATCACAGAAGATTAAACATCACCCATAATAATAACACACTTAGCTGCTTGGCTGTGAGATTGGAAGCCAGATAAGGACGTCATCTGGACTGGACTGAAGACCCCAGCCAGTGCAGTAAGGCAAGAAATACAGCCATGTTACAGAGCCACATGTAGAAGGCAAAATGGTGAAGGTTTCAGGAGAAATTTGGAAAATGGCACCACAGTCAAGAATGTGACATATTTCTGTTTAACAATAATCATAAAGGGGAAGTGGTTGTGCATTCCAGTGTATAAGGACCAACCACTGATAGTTACCATTTGGAAGGTGAAAAGCAATCTGTAGAATGAAAGAAGGTATTTGAAACTCATGTGTTTAACCAAGGCTTTAAGGTAGACTGTGTAACTACTCTAAACATGAATATGAACAAGACAAAAACACAAGGGAAAACCTGGCAAAAACCAAACAGGCACTTTATACACACAATGAAGATATCCAAATAGCCAATGGACATTTGAAAACACACGAACCCCATTAGTAACTGGATTATGGAAAATAAAACCATAAGGAAATACGACTACATGGTCATGAGAATAAACTAGAACATGCCAAATACTGGTGAGAAAGTAGGGCAACTAAAATCCATAGTTACTGGCAGCAGTGTAAGTTGATAAAAAAAAGAAATCTCTAGAAAATTGTTGGGCACAATATATTGAACCCAAAAGATGCCTTCAATGATCAGCAATTTTACCCTTGGAAATCTATTTCTATCTTCGCAAAGACAAGGATAAAGTGTTCATGGCAGCTCTAAAGTAGTAGAAAGCACCCAAATGCCCACCAGCATAAGAATGGAAACGTTTGGATGCAATGGAAACATTGTTTGGATGCAACGGGCATCCATACAATGGAAGCCCATACAGCCACGAGCTGGATGGATTACTATAAACACAGCAATATGAACACGTACAGCAGTGAGCAGAAGGTGTCAGAGACAGGACAAACCTTTTGTGCATTTTGGAAGATTTCATCTGCAAATACCTGCCTGGCTTAGGAGGGAATTAGAGATGCAGTCATTTTTGGCAACAGTTATAAAACAGTTGGTTAGTATACCAACAGTGTAAAAAGCCTTTTTCTTTTCGTTTGTTTGCTTTTGGTTTTGGTTTTGAGACAAGGATTTGCTCTCTTGTTTTTCTAGTGGGTTGTTTGGGCCCTTTTCAACAATTACGAGGACTTAAATTGTACAAGTCAGCAAAGGACAGGGGAAAAATCACAAATAAACATCAATATGTAACAAACATGGGAGAACATATCCCTAACAAAATAATATAAAAAGAAAAAAAATGATACAATAAAATTATTCACCTTGCAAATGGCAGTGTTTTTGATTGGTGAGAATAATGCAAATAGACACTTTAATAAACTCTGTGGAGACATATATATTGTTACAATCCTGCAGGAGAGTCATTTTACAAGTATCAAGAACTCTGAAAACCTTGTAGCAATGTATGTGGAACAATCAGAGATATATACAGACTGATTTTAAAGATTCACATCCTCCCCCATCCTACAGAGCACTACACAGATGTGGGAAAGTACAACTCCAGGTGACCCCGTGACAACTCCCTCCTTCTGCTGCAGAAATGCTCTGCCACCTAACTGGATGGGGAGGAGCCTCCGGGATAGGTCAGGGTCAGGCTAAAGATCACACAGTCACCTGACTGTCACTAACACCAGCGAATAAGAGGGCACCACTTACCATGCTCCCAGCCCTTTTTTTCCTTGCACGATTTTCTTGACACATTTGATTGTGTCCTTTAAATTCGAATTCAGCAAAGCTGTGGAGACAGTAAAGTGGGTGATTCCACGCCACACCATGTAGTTCAGGGTGCCTCCGGGGCTCATGCAAGACAGCTTCCTACTTCTCCCAAGAATAAATCCATCTGGCATGACACACTGGAGTGGTGGGGTTACGGGGCTGAGAGTCACCCCAGGAGGAGGCTGTCCCAGCACAGGGAGCAGCATGAGGGCCAGCAGAGTGCCAGGGACCAGCGTGTCTACACCCACACTTCCCATGAGATACAGATCTCGGGTCTGCTGTGTTTCTCTCTTTGCCCCATCTGCTGTGAAGCCTGGGGAGACACGGAACGACTCAGCATATAACTGAGTGATGTGTTTGTGTGGCCATCTCCCGAGTGGCCGTCACTCATCCTGGGCACCACGGACACTGCACACATCACTGCACTGCAGCGGCCCTGGGCAGGGGTTCACACTGTACCCACTGTATCAGAGAGGAGGTTTAGGACTTGGCTTCCCACAGGAACATCAGCATCCCCCACATCCTTCCTTCTCCCAGAATCTTGAGCCCCAAGTCCGACTACAGGGCCAACACACACTGGGTTCACTGCTGCTTCCAAGGCTGCCAGCTTTGCCCCCACCCCTAGCTGCCTCCTGAATCCAGACTGGAAGCCGAAAGTGCCAGCAGGTCCCCAGCCAGTGGTGACAGAGGCGCTGCTCCTGCGGTGTGGTGGACAAGGCCCCTGGCTGGCTGTGCAGCCACCTGGGGAGGGGGGCATGCTGCTGAGCTTCTGCCTGGTGCCCCCACTTGCCAGCTGTGGTGTGGTGTGGCATGGGTGTGATAACAGGGCCCAGCTCACAGCTCATCACGGGGCCACTGTGACTGTCAGGTGAGTTCCTGCAGGGCTCAGGGGGTGCCTGGCAGACGGCAAGCATCCACACAACCGCACCTCAGATCTGCAGTCCGTGGGCGCTCAATAAATGCTTACAGGAAGGGAACCGTGGGCAGCACCTCCACTTGCCACAGGGACTGGCTGGGCCCTTGGGTGCACAAACTTCCCTCGGGGTAACAGCGCCATGCCCCAGGGACAGCCTTGCCTTTCCAAGCGGCAGCGTCTGTCCCCTCAGGAGCAGAGCAGTGGCAGATGGGTGACATCAGGCCCAGGGGGCCCTCTCACTGGCCCCAGTCTCCAGCTCTGTGAGGGGCAGGAGCTGTAGCACTCCTCAATGCCCCAACCCCTGCTCCCACCCCTGGATGGGGGTCTCTGTCACCCCAAACTTTCTCAGCCTCCGGGGACCCACCACGGATGTGCCTCCTCTGCTCCCTCAAGCCCTCCCTGGGGGAGGCCACACCCCAGCACCCCAGCTTGGAGAGCGCCCATTCTCCACCTGAGCAGTCCACATTGCAGAGGTTCCTGCCTGGCCCACACCACTTGCGGTCGTGGATCTGGAAGAGGCCGTAGCCCAGGGAGCCGTCCCGCCGGTTCTCATACACTGCTGAGGGGTTGAACTTGCTCTCGAAATAAGCCAGGCACACCCCTAGGATGAAGGGGGTGTGAGGCCAGCCGTGAGCCCCAGCGGGTGTACAGGCTGAGGTGGAGGAGCTGAGCACTCACAGTTGGCGAGGCTGTAACCCTCGAAGTAGTTCAGGCCCCCTTCATGGAGCCTCCGAGCCACCTCACAGCGACCTAGGATGTGGGGGCCGCAGGGGACCACGAGGCAGCCCAGGAGGAAGAGCAGCACCAGCGCCCGCATCGTCCTCCTGGCTCTGGCACAGCTCCTGCCCTCCGGACAGCAGGCCTGGGGATGAGGAGCCCTGCGGGCAGAGGGGTCACCCAGCCGGCTCAGGAATCAGGAGTCCCCGCCAGCCCTGGTCCCTCCTGATTCTTGGCCAACACAAGGCACCTTGACCTCCTCTGCATTGTGTTTCTAGTTTTTGAAAATGTGTATCAGTGCGAGTCCACAGTGCACAGTGCCCGAGTTCCTGCGGGGAGCTGCTGCCTGCACACAGCATCTTCATTCTCCTTGCCTCTCTTTCCCTCCTGTCCTCTCCCCTCTGGCACATCTCGGTCCCCTTCTCCCCTTCCCCTTTGAAAAAGCTCTATCTCCCTATTTCCCATCCTCTATCCCTTATTTTGCTTTTTTACTTTATACTTTGGGTTTCTACCCTGTGATGTTTAGGTCATGTGTCTGATTTATGTCACTTAACACTGTGGTCTCAAGGTGCATCTGTCTTCCTACAAATGACCCAGGTTTATCTTCATGGCAAAGTAGTGCCCCTTTCGTGGCCCTGACAGGTGACTCTCCTGTTCCTGGTGGGGGTGTGGCTTTTTGGGGGTGTGGTATTTTGAGACAAGATCTCACTGTGTAGTCCAGACTGGCCTTGAACTTGCAGTGATCCTTCTGCTTCAGCCACCCAAGTGCTAGGATTATACCCACCATGCCCGGCTGACCATCTCACTTTGTGCCCTGCCCATTCCTCAAGTGAGACGATACAACAGGAAGTCAGGACACACCTACTTCCTGCACAGCCATGGTCCTCGACACTCAGTACACACCTACCCCTGGGTACATCACCCCCTCTTGTTGTCACCATTCCCACATGCGTGACATCCTCAGGGGTCACCTGCATGGCGGGTCCTCAGCCTGGCCATGGGGGCTGGAAGCTTTTGCTCCCGGGATTGCCCAGTCAGGGCTGATCTTTTAGGGCAGACCTGGCCACAAGGTGCCGGCAGCTCCCTCTCCTCGGCCATGACAACAGCAGAGCCTGGAAGATTGCACTTCAAGGAGGTATTGTAGCCCTCCAGCCGCCTGGTGCATGCAGACATGGCCGTGCAATGGGCACGGAGCCTGAGGACCCAGCACCTGGCACAGTGCTCGAAATTGATGGCACACACACCACAGAGGGCTGTTTGTGCCCATGGAAAGCTCTCAGAGGTTCACCATCACTAATCCAGGCATGGCTCGCAGATAGGCTGGGTCCAGATGCCCTCAGCGATCCAAGCTGTGACCTTAGACAAATTACTCAACTGCCCTGTGCCTTGGTTTCCCTAAGATGGCAGTTTCCCGACCACATTGAAAAGGTAGTGAGTCAGGTCCACAGTGCCCTAGGTTCCCTGTGAACATTTGCTTTTCTGAGCCCTACCTGTAAACTCGTTCTTAGCGAGTGTGAATTTCTGCACTTGCCCAGAAGTCCATCTGCCTTTCCCGACAGCTAGAACTCCAGGGCCTGCAGCCCAGCGTGAGAGACCTGCATGCCTGCTGTCCCTCTACCCTGCTGTCCCTTCAGCGGGGAGCTCATCCTCCCCACTGCACCGTCCCCTCTGCCCTCTGACTGCTCAGTGGTCTCTTCACTGCCTCCTCCCAGGCCCTCCTCCTCTGTCCTCCACACTGCTGTCCACATGGAGGCACAGGGTCCTGTGAGACACTCTGTCCACCAGATAACCCAGCACGTGCCCTAGGCCCCCACCTCCTCCTGGGTTTGTAGTGGCATTGTGACTCATGAGCGTAAGTGAATGTGCTGACCTCTGCCTGTCCCCGTCCGCCACCATCTCCCCTTCCCAGTCCCGGCTCCCTGCATCCCTGGGCACCTTCCTGGGCAGGAGAGGTGGCCCTGCAGAGTCTGCAGAGCCTCAGTGTCTGCTCGGGGATGGCGCTTGGCCTGCTCTCCGCTCCTGGAGTTTCCAATGCTGCTGCCTTAATAATTCAGTCACCTTCTCCCAAAAGCATCAGAGCCTTCGGTCTGTCCCCATGACCAGCGCTTCTAGAACCTTTGCTATGACATCAGCTGCTGAGCACCAGAACACTCTCAACAGGGTCCGTCACCTTCATGTCTGTGTCGTTTCCTACCGCTGCTATCGAGAGCTGCCGCACTTCTGGAGGCTGGCGCAGCACGGGTCAGCCAGCATTCAAAGCTGCGCACGTCAGAAGTCTGCGGGCCTCTCGGGCTAAAGTCAAGGTGACCGCAGGCTGTGTCCTGTCTGGGAGCTCCCGGGCCCTCTGCTGGCCTCTCCCTCGGGAGCTGGCAGTGACAGCCTCCTTACGCCATCCCTCGCTGGCTATGCTCTCTGTGGTCTTCTCAGCTCTGCTCTCTCCTGGGTCTCCAAAGCCACCAAGGGAGCCTCCTCCGCCACTCCAGGGCCCTGAGCTACACTGGTCCACCCAGAATCAAGTCCCTAATCAGAACTGCAAGTCCTCCTGCAGGAACAGAGGGCTCGCAGCCAGGCCGTGGACTCCACCAGCCAGTGTTCCTCAGGCCCCACCGGACCCCATCAGTGGAGCAGGGAGAGCCCCTCACTCAGCTCTCCTGCCTGAGGACCAAGGTAAGCTATCTCTAAGGCCCTTTCTAACTCCAAAAGCAGAGTTGTTGAGAAGATTGAGGGCGAACTAGCATTTGAGAACACAGACATGCTCTGGATGCCTCCAAGAAGATGGGAAGTAGTTGATTAACATAAATTGATAAAGGGTGTGGTGGTACACGCCTGTAATCCCAACACCCAGAAGGCTGAGGCAGGAGAACTGCTGGGCTACATAGTGAGTTCAACCTGAACTATAGACTCCATCTCAAAAAACGTATATAAATAAATAAAATGAAGTGGAAAATCATAAAAGAAAAAAGGATCAAAGTAGGCCACAACCCTCGAGCTTAGGCCCACGTACTCCATCTTGCTCGGCTATCTTCAGCTAGGTCTTTTCCCAGACACAAGTCACCGGCCAGAGGGCTGTGCAGATGTCTGGTGCAGGTTACACTGCGCCATACTCCATTGGCTAGTCTTGAGGTCTTAAAGGGAAGCAAGAATTTTAAAACAGGCAAAGGAAGCAACGTCCCCTACCTCCTTCTGGATTTCTGTGACTTTGTAACTTCCTTGTAACTGCCGTGACTTTGTAAACTGTCTCTTCCTGCTCCTTTGTTAAAATATATTTTAACAAAGCCTTCAGCTTGGCTTTGATCATCACCTTGAGCTCCAAGGACCGACTCCGCTTGTCTTCCGTGGTGCTCACCGGTTTCCTGCCGAAGTTGAGGGTGATGTCTACCTTCTTTAAACCTGTGACCGGGCTTGCAGAGACCTCTGCTACTGCCCTCATCCCCAAGAGCATTTGGCAACATGATCTACTTTACAACAGCTTTTGCAGATGGTCCTGAAACAGCATGCCTTCCAGAAAACCTGGTCAAGAGGGACTACATCTCTTCTCCTGAGCCAGAGAGGGGCTCAGTGGTTCGGGTGCCCTGGTTCCAGGGCCTCCTCTGTCTTCTACAGCCACACAGATTCCGTTCCCATGTGAGACTTGCCCACTGAGGTGCAGAGAGCATGTGTCTGGGGTACACAGGAGGGCACAGAGTCAGCTGCCCTCGCTGCCAGGTCCGAGGCTGAGCAGGGAGGTAGCAAAATGGGAGGTAGCTTGGGTAGGGGTTTCTGGCCAAGGCAGCCACAGGCCAAATCCAGCCAGGTGGCTGTTTGATAGCAGTCTTGCTGGAACACATCCACACTCTCAGCTTCCGGCTGTCTAATGGCTCCTTTTGGCCTCAGTGGCAGACTGAGGGGTTGAAAAAGAGACAGAAGGATCAGGAACACGAAGAAGTGATCTGCCAGCTTTGCCAAAAGGATTCACTGAGCTGTGGAGCAGGACTTGGCCAGACTCGTCTGGTGCTGGGTTTGTGCCCTGGTTTTGCTGTACCCCTCTGTGTGACGTGGCAAAGGCCACTGCTCCTTCCCATGGCTGTTTCTTCACCTGCAAGATGGCTGTTGTGCGGTGAAAGTGACACAGTGCACCTGAGCTCAGCGCCACCACCCACCAGAGAGAAGAGGGCTGCTCTAAGGCTCCTGCACTAACCACACTGGGTAAAGGTTCCGCTGGTTCAAGGTGAAACTTCCAGGAGGCCTATGGATGAACTTGGGACTGAAGCCCACCTCTCGCCTGGCTCGCAACCTATGCAAACTTGGGCTTGGGCTCTTTCCTGGTGAACCTGGGCCTCTGGCCTTGAGGACCTTGCAGGGATCTCAGATGCAGGTGGAGCACAGAACAAGAGTCATCGAATCACTGTCACAGAAATGGGTCCACCAAGGTCCAGCCAAGGCAGTAGGAATGCCAAGAGTTAAGGCCAACCTGGCCTATTGAGCCACTGTGGCGAAGCATGAGGAGGCAGGACTCTCTCCTGTGAGGGCTCTGTCACTGGGTCCTGGGGTTCGGTGGGCTCCTTCTAGAGTTTTCAGGTTCTTGCCCTGAACAAAGAATTGGACAAAACAAGTGCAAAAGGTACCGAGATTTTGTATTTACTAAAGGTAGAAAGAGAAGAATGCTTTTCAGAGTGAGAGCGCGCACTAAAAGGGATTCCAATGGCCAGAAGCTCAATGGCCACCATCTTTGTATCCCCCACTCCTCTGGCTGACATCAGATCTAGGCCATCCTATCACAAGCCCTCTTGATCTCATGTCAGAATTAAAGATCACACTTTCTGATTGGTCCCAGTTTAGAACTTCTGCTGTTATGTGTCCTGGATTTCTGTGATTGACAGGTCATACCTGCATGCCCAACCAGAGAGCTGTGTTAAAATCTCCTGCCTTAGCTTTGTATCTTATGCCCCAGCCAGCTGAGTCCTCAGTTTCCCTACCTTCACCTCTCCACTGGCCTCAGGTAGCTGCTGCTGCTCACTGGGAACCCCACCACCACATCCTAGCCCTGTTTCTGGAATGAGAATGTGTTAGTTACCTTCTCATTGCTGAAACAAAATACCCAACACCACAAGTTAAAGGAGGAGAGCTTTAGTTTGCCTCAAAGTTTGTAAAGATTTGGCCCTGCTAGTGAGTCATGCAGGTGGGTATGCATTGCCAGTGGGTGTAATCCACCGGCCAACTCCTTGCCTTGGAGTCAACTGTATACCCATCCTTCCAGCCATGCTCACAGTGACCCATCTCTTCCCACGGGGCTTTATCTCCCAACCCCACACCCAGCTGAAAACTCATCATTACTCCAACGCCACAGGGCCGTGACCCAGCATCACACACACACACAGGGCTCAGCATCCAACACCCGTGAGCAGTACCTTATGCCCACAATTCAGCACCACACACCTGTGGTCCAGTTGCCTCCCGAAAGCTCCATCTGTGAGTACAGGAGGCTTTGGGAAACGGCTAGATATAAATCACAACAGTACCACTGGTCACCCTGGCAGAGCCAGTTATGCCAGACATGTCAGCAAGGCCACCATGAACCGCCAGGCCCACACACCAGCTGACCACATACCAGGAAGCGCTAAGTGAGTGACAACTCTCACTCCCGGCTTGGAAGAGGAATGTGAACCAGTGGCTGTAAGTGGCATGTCCTCTCTCCAGCCTGCATTTTCAAGCCTCCATCTGCACGTGCTCTGGCCCGCTGGACCAGCTTCCCCATGGACCACGTCTGCAGAGGGGACTGGTCAGGCTGGTGCTGGCTCACCCATATCCAATGAAGGGGTGACCCCCCCCAGGGAGAAGGGCATCGCCTGTGTCTTGTAAAACTTCATCTACCTTTCCTCAAACTGTCTACAAGCTGCCACCAGGTAGGGCTCCTCTCAAGCAAAGGCACGGGTCCTGGCCCCTCAGTTCAGTTGCCCTGCTATTGAGTCATTAGGTATGCGTGGGCAGGTGGGTTTCGTGTTGCCAATGGGTTTAGCCCACCAGCCGTATCCTCTGTACATTCTGGGTGGGAGCTTCTCTTGCAGAAACAGGTTGTGGTTTTGTACGACATTCACTCACCTGAGAATAGTTATAAGCCCAATGTAACCTGGACATTATGCCATGTACCGGGGGCACAAACACAAGCATGTGGCATGACAGGCCACACAGCAGGCTGGCAGGCCAGTGAACACTGCACAGGAGGCCATGCGCATTTCTGTGGGGCAAAGAGAAGACAGCGCCAACCCATCTGATGGAACAGGAAGAAAGGAAAAGATGTTGGAGCAGTCACTTTACCAGTGCTGGGCCTCGATGCCAGTACCTACAGTGTAAATTAAGAGGTTCGTCTGGCTCATGGTTCCAGTGGGTTCAGTCCATGGCCAGCTAGCTCCAAGGCAGAACAACAAGACGGAAAGGCTTGGAAGGAAAGACCGTAGCTCACTTCCTGGCTTCCAGGAAGCAGAGGGAGAGAGAAGAGGAACAGTTGGGGACCAGAACATACCATTCCAGGGCACATCCCAGTGATCACCCCCAGCAAGCCCCACTCCCCATAGCACATTGAGCCATGAACTCATCCATGGATTAATCAACTAAAGATTATGGTTCCCCATGATCCGGTCACCTTTCATGCACTGAGACTTTAGGGAACTGCTCCTCTTCCTCCCTGCCACTCTGCAGTGCCACCCTGCCTTGGAGCCAGCTGACTATGGACTGAAGCCTGCATAAACTGTGAGCTAAAATAAACCTGACCCTGTGTGACCCTGGTGGCACTCAGGGACATGCAGTGTCACCATGGACTATTCTTAGTCCAAACGTTTAGCAGAGTAGATCTGGAGACACCAGCTGCAGACTCTGGGTGTCCTATAGACGTAGGGCTGGAGGACGCAGCATCAGGAGAGATGCAGGGCCTGGACATCGCGCCTCACCGGGGGAGCCCACTTCACTGAGCCAGAGGCACTTTGCAAACCTTGGCTCTGGACTGAAAGAAACGTCTCCACGGGCCTCTGTGGGCCCACTGAGGACATCTGTGTATGGACATCCGTGTGTGACTGTTAGACCCAAGTCCATACTAGGAGAGCAATGTCACCAAGCCTACAGTGGCTATGGGTAAATGCACATGTGTGTGTGCAGAGGGAGACAGGGCACACGAGTGGTGAGGGGCAGAGACAGTATACCCAGCTCAGGGGCTGAGGGATGCCCATCCCATTGCTCTTGTAACACAAAAGGCAAATTTTTCAGCTGGCCAGAGCAGCACATGCCTATAGTCCCGTACTCTGAGAGGCTGGGGCAGGAAGATTGCCAAGTTTGAGCCAGGCTGGACAGTTTGGTAATTTAGCAAGACCCTATCTCAAAAATAAATCAGTTTTTAAATGCTGAAGGTGTGGCTTGGTCTGAAGGTTCTAAGTGCTATCCCCCACCCACACACACACACACAGAGAAGTAAATTTTTAAAGAGGTGGAGGAAGAGGAAGAAGTAGGAGAGGACTGGATTAGCCAGAAGACGGACATTATCTGCTGCCCTGGGCCTGGCCTGGGATTAGCAGGAAAATAGCAGCCCGGAGGCCTGAGATCATTACAAGGAAAGATTCTACCAGGGCCTTTCCCACCTCTGGACAAACAGCTTCCAGAGCCCAATTCCACTGGCTCCCAGGCAGAGTGCAGCCTGGGCCATGCGGACAATGCAAAAGGCCAAGTGAGGCTGGAAGAGACACTGGGTGGCCTTCAGATCTGTGCCATGCTGATTCCAAAAGCAAGGACATGCATGCTCCAGCTACTCTCAAAAAGTGTGTGCCGCAGAGAGAACTCGGACTGCGGTGGCTGCACGCCTCCCCTTCACACTGGAATGTTATCTCTCGAGTTTAACAGCTCTCATGCACAAACATAGCAGCCACACAGGGAAAGTAAAGAGTCTGCCCAAGGCCCCAAGGGAAGAACATGCGCAAGAAAGAGGAGTGTGGGGACCATAGTAGCTGGGTTTTCTGCAAAACCAATGGAGCAGCCACTAAAACAGCAAGAAGGGATGGGCCCGAATAACAGCACTGATGAGCAAACTACAGCAGAAATCAGGCCGAGTGGAGGGGAGGGGGGTGACAAAGAAGAGCACCAGGCTGTGCGACACACAGAATAAAACAAAATGTGTTTGACCTCAAAAAGGAGATTGCTCAGGTGTTGAGAGGATTCTGAATTTGGCAGCTGAGGGGCAAAGATCATTCAGCAATGTTTAGATCAGAGCCTACAGTCTGCAGATCCCTGCAGTGGCCCTGGGGTGCAAGCTCCACAGCACAGTCCCTGTCCCTGTCCCTGAACAGGACGCACCCCCACCTCAGGGCCACCCACTGGGAATCCCACCTGAGCTCCATCCCGGAAGCCCAGGCCCTGCCAGGACTCTCCAGTCCTCACTCGACCTTCTCCATATGGAATCCTAGGGCAACAGAGAGACGCTTGGGTGGGAAGCTGGTCCTCCAAGATCCCCTTCAGTTAGGCGAACAGATCCTGCAGGGATCCTGCAGAAATACATGTTCTGGGTCCTGGGGCAAAGCGGGACCTGAGAGCTTAAAGTTGAGCTTCTCAGTTGTGCCATCCACATTTCAAGGGCCCTGTGGGCACCCTTTTGGGCACAACATCGTGAATGTTTTCATCATCACGAAAAGCTCTGTTGACTAAGGCAGGGGACAAATGCCCCCACGGTGGACTGTTTGTGTCCCTCCAGAATTCATATGTCAGACCCCACCTCCCAGCGTGAGGGGGACGTGGCGGGTCTGTCTAACTTTCCCGTCCTTGTGCTGGGACAGTGGAGACTGAAGCTGGCAACACAGCAAACAGAAGTGGTGAGGAACGGCCAATGCTTGTTTATCAGGCAGACGAGAGGAAAGCTCTCTCTCTCTGCTAGTTACAGAGACGTGCCATAGGGCAGGGACCATAGATGTTTTGGTTCACTGTCATTTTATACAGTTTTGGGGATCAGTGTATGTGGCAGGAATCAAGGAGGCCTTTGATGTCTGGACGACCAGCTGCTTCACTTCCTCCAAGGTCTCTCCCCTTGGGTTAAGGACATACTCTTTTTGTCTTTTGCATTTTAAAGTTGGTATGCTAATTCTCTTAGGCACCTACTTTTAGTTTACCTATTTAGGGCCCACCCTTCCCCTGCCTGCCTAACTTCCCGTCTCCTGGCTTCGATGTCCCTAATAGAATAGGTACCTACAAACCAGGAGCCCAGTGAGCTCACCAGCATGCAGGAGAAATGGGACCTCCACCCTCCAGACCTCTGAGAAATGCATTTCCGTTGCGTGTAAGTCACTGGTCCCTGAAACTAAGCTGCCTGCCTCCTCCAGAAGTGCTTTTTCTTCCTCGCTGGATAGATGTCCAAAGGCTGTGGTTCCCCAGGGTGCTGCTGGCCCAGCTCAGCTTCCGGCTCTGCCGTCCACAGCCGGCCATGCCCTTCTGGGGAAGTGGAGCCCGCACAGCTGTCAGTTAACTCTGGGCAGCTGTGAGCACAATCAGCATCCAATCAGGGGCGACTGGCTCACTTAGGGCCTGGTGATCATCACCCTTGCTCTGTCCTCTCGCCATCTGACACTCAGACCTAGAAAAACAAGGGAACGGTGAGTTCTTGTCCCAAGGCCTCCCTAGTCTTCCCCAAAGCACATAAACCAGAGCAATCCCTAACTCCCACACGACATTTGGGAGGAGGTAGGCAGTGGCCCATGGGCCCTGGCTTTATGTTCAGGTATCCGGATGAGGATGAAGCCCCTTTCCTCTTTTCTAAAGGTGCCCAGATGCCTAGCACCCTGGTGTCAGAGTCACAGCTCCTGTGGGTTTGGAAATCAAGGAATCCACGTGGTGGAGACAGGAACCACAGTGCACGAATTCAGGCGACAAGAAGTGTTAGCTCTCTCCATCATGTCATTCTGCGGCTTGTGGTGTTTTCCTGAAGACACTGGGATGTGCCTTCTGGCTGGCACTTCCAGGAGAAAGAAGTAACTTTGCCAGTGGCTGGGAGTCACGTACAGCGGCCCCTCCTTAAGGTCACTTGTGCCCTCCCCGGGCTGCCTCTGGGCCAGGCCAGCAGCACCCAGCATCCAGCACCCTCACCCTGTGCACCACAGCTCTGCTGCAAGCCCACCCCAACGCCAGAACTATCCCAGGAGTGGCTGAAGACTCTAACAAGAGTGCACAGCCACCTAAACTGTCCCCGCCCCATGCCGCCTCTGCCTCCTCCCAAGGGCACATTTAATAAATGTCCTGCCAGCGGCTCCCCATCCAGAGCCTGCTGCCCACCCTGCTCCAGGCCCTCTGGCTCTCCTAACCCAAAGTGAGGGAGGTGACTGTTGTCAGTCAACCCTGGCATCGCTGAGATGCCCACACTCCTTCTGGTCCCCAGAGCTCTTGCCCCTGGCCACTGCTCTGCCAGCCTTTGAGACCTGCTGCTTAGGAGTGTCCTCTGTGCTCCTGGATGCTTGACAGGAAGAGCTGCCCCCCACGCCCCGGCAGCCTCAGAGGACTCTGTCTGAGGCCCATGCCCCTGTGTGGCCCCACAGCGGCAGGAATCTGCCCTTACACTCCACAGACCCTTTCAGGGATGGCTGTGCCCTCCCCTCTCTGGGGTGTGGCAGAGGCAGGGGACAGGGACAGAGCCCCTTGTTGCCAGTTTTCATGATTACACACCCTCCGACTGCTCTCTCCTTGAGAGGGAAGATTCTTTGTAACTGCTTTGAGCAGCAGGAGCAGCAGTGACACAGGGACCTTGCAGACACTACTGGGCCCAGTCTTAAGAATCCTGCCTCTTGGGACTGTCACTCTGGATGCCTGGAGCGCTCCCTGCTGGCCGTTGCTGAGCTCAGCCTAAGGGCCACACTGCCCAGCAGGGGAAGCTGGCCTGGGCCCCCAGTCAGACCACCCCAACTGCAGAACACTCAGCCACCCATTTGGGACAGCAGCCCTGTTCCACCAGGCCTCTGTGAGGAACCCCAACATCACCTGCTGAGGACACCGCACAGATGGGCTTCGAGTCCCCTTCCTGACCGGTGTCCTACGATAGCGGGGGCCCCATTGGTTAGGTGAGACCTCCAAAATCTGAATCTGAGCCCCTCTGTCCAGCAGCAGCACAGCTGTGCCACAGGGTTTAAACATTAAAAATTGTGAAAATAAACTGCTGCAGTGCAGCAGGAGACTGACTGCGGCCAGCGAGGGGCCCTGAGTGGTGGGCACAGAGGCGTCATAGACACCGGCTTTGGCGAGTTGTGAGGCAGCAGCACACACAGCCTCGGCCCTGCAATCCCGCCCTGAGCCCTGCGTAGGCTCTGTGGGCAGCCAGGCTTCAGAAGCATTAAACGAGATGGGGAAAGGGTCATGAAATCCGAACACTAGAGCCGACTGGGAATGGCTCTGAGCGGAGCCGGGCCCATGGAACCTCTTTACACCCCTCTGGCGTTTCCTCCTTGGCTCCTGCTGGGTTAGGAAGACGCAGCTGTTGTGGGGTTAAATGTAGGCTTCCGGCCTCAGCCACTGGAACTGCGTTTCCCAGCTTGGTGCTTTCTAAGGTTAAGGAACTGGCAGGTCTGGTGGCCTGGCACATGGCTAGACTGTGGGCTGGTGAGCTCTCTGAGGTCCTGAGTCTCAGTGGAGAGGAAACTCTTACCCCAGATTGTGTCTGCAACTTTACCCAAGCAGCCCATCCCCAGCCACTCCTCCTCCCCTCTACCCGCAGAAGCCGTGATCTACCGAAGGTGTGGTCCACAGCTTCCTGCTCCACTGCTGATCCACCCTTCCCCACCATGTGCCCACCCAGTGGCTCAGCCATCCTTGTGAGTCCGTGAATGTAACAAACCATCTTCCCAGGGGCTCTGGTCCCTGCCTTGCTGACCTGTCCACACCTGAGGGGTCATCCGACCTACTATTTACAGCGAGCCTCCTCAGGCTGCTCGGACTACTGGGCCAGGACACCCCAGGCAGGGGCACTTATGACCAACAGAGAGCCAAACAGCTCAGCTCCTGCACCTTCAGGAAGATGCAAAGCAAACCAAACTAAAACGTCTCCTTAGAGCCACCAGGATGGCTACAGGCAAAAGTCGGGAAACTGGGAGAGTGTAGAGAAGTGGAGCCTGCCACCTCCCCTGCAGGAAGGGTTGTAGGATGGCAGCGCCACTCTGGGGAAAAACCAGGAAGCTCCCAAAATGTTAAACACAGAGTCCCATCCAAGGCATCTACCCAACAGAAAGAAAATATCAACTCTTAAAAACTTGGACTAAATGTTTACAGCAGCAATATTTGTTCTCACTCCAATGTGAAAACAACCCAAATGTCCATCCACAGATGATGAACAAAGACAATGTGGTATATCCATACAGTGGAACATTACTCAGCAAGAACAAAGTGCTGGTGCCTGCCACTGGGCTGAGGACTGGTCAAGGGAGCCTGCATGTTTCAGGACTTTGTTCACATGGGCATGGAGGATAGGCAAATGTACAGAGACCAGAAGCGAATTAGCTGCCTGTCAGAGCAGGGAACTCTTAGGGGACAGAAAGCGACTGCCACAGCTAAGGAGTTCCCTTGGGGGATGAAAAACATGTTCTGCAGTTAACTGTGGCTATGGGTGAACAAAAGTGGGTGGCTGCATTAAAAATCACAAATTATGCTTTAAATGAATAAATTGTGCAGCAAATGAAGCACATGTCACGTTACTTGCAGTGGAGAGAGGGGGGCTGCTGGGTCGCAGCAGTGCAGGCCTGTGTTAAACCCTCAACTGCTCTCCTGCTGCCCAGCAGAAGGCCTTCTTGGGGCTCCTCATTTAACCTCTCTGAGCTCCTGTGTCCACAGCCGTGAGCAGGGTCCACACAGTGCCAAACAGGCAGCACCAATGATGAGCACGTGTGCCAGCTGCTTAGTGAGTTTCTCAGAGCCCGGGTGGCACCAGGAAAGAGACGCTGACCACAGACGCTGACCACAGGGGTCGCTGACTGCCTTGCTCCAACAGCAGTGAGGGTGCCCTGCGTCTTCCCAGGTCTAGGCCTGACCACGCGGTGGGACCAGGCCAATCCTGCCTGGGGGCCACAGCCTCTGGGGAGACACCAGACGGGTGGGTGGGAGCCAAGCAGCTCACCTGTGCTTTCTGCACACCAGGCCTGCAAGTGAGGTTTCCTCTGAAGCCGCTGTCCTCGTGCTGAGAGGTGGTGTCCAGAGCCACTCCACCCCCGAGCCATCCTGAGCCCTGCCCTTCAGGACGGACACAACCTCTCTGGGGTGCACTTGTCCCCCACACGCTGTCCTGGAGAGCAGGCCCCAGAGGTCAGCTGGACCCCTCCCATGAGTCCCAGAAAGCTGAATTTCCCTCCAGGTTGGTGCTGCAAATGGCCCAGAGCTTCTGATTCAGTCTGGCTCCTTCAAACAAGTCTGGATTAAATTTGGATCTTCCAAAAATAAAAAAATAAAGTAAAATAAATTTGGGTCTTCCAGAAGCGTCAGTGACTGAGTCAGGAAGCGTGGCTCAGTGACAAGTTTGCCAAGTGCGGGCCTTGGCTCCTCGTCACACTTCACTCTCCTCAGTGATGCAAGCCTGTGTCTCACACGCACGGGGACTCGGTTAGCCTGATGGTGGGAAGGATGCCCGGTGGGCTGCAGTCCCCCACTCCCCACTTCCCTGGGTCCACCTAGGTCCTCAGCCCCCTGATCTGCTGGGGCCAACCCGGGACAACCTGGGGACCAGGAGCAGAGTCTGCCAGCAATGCGCCTGCCCCCCAGTCTCCCCTGCCTCCTCTTTCTGTCTGTTCAGCTGCAGCACAGCAGATGGGCCCGCTGGGATCCTCGATTTTGGCAGTGACACAATGATGGTCCCCCGCTGGGAAGTGGCAGAGAGAGCCGATGGCAGAAGCTCCTGGCAGATGACAGAGGGAGTGGGCACACCTGCCCTGTAACAGGCTGACAGCTGTCACCACAAGACCCAGCGCCTTGGAAACCAGGAGTGGGGACAGGATGGGGATGAGCCGCTGGGGCTGTGAGCCGTCCCTGCTGCCGAAGATGCCCTGCAGTGGGCACCGAGGGAGGGGAAGGAGTCAAAGTCCTGGCTTTCAAGTTTGAAAGTCAACTGTGATCTCATAGCACGCGGTGCAGAATGACGAGACGAGATGATTCGGAATATCTGCATCACCACGGTGGACCAAGGGCTCAGATCCCAGAAAAACCAGTCCCCAAGGAATCCCTGCCATCCTCACCAGCCTCCCAGCTGGAGTGGCCCCGTGAAGTCTGGAGACCTCTGCTGGCTCAGGGCAGACATTCGCGGGGCTGAGAATCAGGGTGGAATCACAAGGCTGTGGGCCCGGCCTCTCGGGAAATGTGGAGAAAAGCATTCGCACCTGTGGGGAAGCGGGATGACCCCATGGCCCCACTCGGCAAGGAGGCCCCTGGAAGGAGCCTCAGGTGGCATCCTGTCCTCCCAGCCTCAAGGCCCTGGATCCGGCAAGCTCAGCCTCAGGAGCTCCGGCTTGGGAGGCTGTGACAGGAAGGCCCCTGCTGAGGCTGGGAACCCCAGAGCAGGAGGCTGTAGGCTGCCCCAGGTGTGAGGACCGCCAGGGCAGAGTCCCCAGGACC